GCTGAACATCCCCCAGGTGTGCCAGTTCATGTCATGTCGAAACGTCCTGTGCTCCGTTTCGCCAAATCCGTACAAATATTGGGACGGCAAACGGGTGGAAATCTGAATGAACATGTCACTGAAGGTGAAAGTCGGTAGCTGAGAATCCCAGCTGAAAGAGAGGAAAATAGACCAAAATGACAGCAATTTGAGCGCCGGGCACAGCTGGTGGTCACCCTTTCAAGGCTGACTCTTTTTCCTCAAAAATTCTTGTTATTCACAAAATTTGGAATAAAACCGTTACAGTTATCGAGAAAACTTAAACAACGTTAGGACGTTTTTTAGAGCTTAATGTTGGGTTGGGGTTTTTTTGCAGATTATGTTGAAACATGAGGTGTAAATCGTTTGGGTTTTTTTTCTGTTAGAAACTGAGTCAGAATCTGACAGCGTTCTTCCGATGACGGCTGTAGGCATGGGATGCTGAATTATGGAACGAATAACTTACTCCGGTTGGCAAAACACAACTTGCAATTAAATTTTGATTACTTTAAAGAATGGGGAAAAAAAACCCCCAACAAACCCACAACAAAAATCCAACAGAACACACCACAATCAAAAAGAGCAAGACAAAAACCGCAAAACTCAAAACCCACATCTAGTTTTCCCTGGCGCTAGAACAGTCCTGACCGAAATGTAAAATTACGGAAAGAATAATTAATCCCGTGTCGCTCAAACCAGGACAATGCTGCGGAGGACTTTTAGCCAGTATCGAAGTACGAGGTGGAAGGAAAAACACCTCAGCCAATTTGGGGAAAAAAAAAATAGGGTAATGTTGAGGGCAGCGTCTTCATCCTTCCTCTGGATTAATGTTCTCATATTTATGCAAAGGTCAAGCGACCACCGCAGGAGCAGAGTTCAGTATTGGACAGATGAGGTCGTTTTATGGGATGGAGACAAAGATTTTAGAACAGTCTGGACAATAAAATGTTTCGGCAGGAAAAGAAGAAAAAGGAAAAAGTAGAAGAGAAGAAAGAAAAAGGGAGGGGAGGAAATAACGTACGAAAACCGAAAAGAAAAAATAATTAAATTAAATCTAAAACTAAAAGAAAGAATTAATTAATAAGCCGAGACGAAAGAATAAAATGAAATATTCAAATTTAAAAATTGAATTAGCAAAGCAAAAATGAAAAAAAATGCTATGAAATGAGCATGGCTTACATCACCGTCCCCGTGCTTCTGCGTCGAACCTGGATGCCAAAGGGTTTCTTCTGAACCATCACGTCGTAAAGTTGACCCGTGGATGTGCTTTCTGGGGACTTGGGGAGATTTAGCGGTACCGGCACCTCGTATCTTTTATTTGCGTAATCATAAATCTATGCATGGAAAATGAATTCATTTCGGTGTGCGTGGAATATGCATAAATTAGCAAGTTAGATTTTCAAGCATTCCAGGTAAAAATAGCGACTCCGAGTGGGGGACAGAGAATTGTTTGATTCTTACCGATAATGAGAAGAAATCTGAATTACTTTAAAAATTTGCTGATATAAGCGCTTTCTTTCAATATGTATTTCTCAAATTCCTTCAAAATACTTGGGTTGGGAAATAAAGAACCCCGAGATTTTATTTAGGACCAGGAATGACTCATTTAATTATTTAAGCATATTGCTTGAAGTGTATTTTTATGTATGGTAAATTGATTCCACGGGTTTGGTTGAATTTTTAGCCAGCGTTAATAGATTTTTCAGATTTTTCGTATCATATAAGTTGCTATGTGTTGATTCAAGACTAAGAGTAATAAAAGCTACTTGGTTAAAAGGAGAAAATTTTGGACGGCCGATCCACGCAACCCAAAATTGTCTAGAAATGTTGTTCCCAGAAATAACACTATTCCGAGCAGCGGAACGATAGAAACTCCGAAATTCCACCTCACCTTGAATTGCAGCATATGGTTGTTGTGATATATCACCTCCAGGCGAAGGGTACTGATGGGTAACGTTGATTTCTCGTAGGCTCCGAGGTTGTTCTTGTCGAGGGTGAGGTTGGCCGTCACACCCGATGACGTGTATTTCACATCAGTGACGGAATAACCGTTGTCGGTGCTGTTGTAGTAGCAGTACGGAACACCCGAAGCGGAGGTATCTTCCTGCGGATGGAGACACGAGGAGGGAATTATTCAATTGCTGACTTTTTTATTTATTTATTTAGCAGCAAGAAATCCAAAACTCTTTTTTTTTTTTTTTTAACCCAAATAACTATTCGCTGTAGAATTTTTGTCCAAAACTTCATGCTGTTACTAAACAATAAAGAAGCAGCGCTGAACCCACCAACCTCTACGCTGTTTTAAACACAACTAATTATTCCAAGGTTGTTCAGTCCTGTCTGTATCGTTACAAAGTGACAAGGATTTAATAGACCCTCAATCTGTGACCTTCACCTCAATCCCACCAAAAAAAAAAAACCAAAAAAACCAAAAAAGACCTTTAAGTCTCAATAGTCTCTGGTCATTTTGGACACCTTCAGGGGGATGTGCCTAAAATTCATGAGCAATATCTGGTGAGAGCTCTCCATCAGCTTTTACATGTCTTTACTCACACAAATGATCTTTCCCACTGGGAATTGTGGTTTATCCGTCGAATATCTCCTGCTGGCAAGGTCAAAGTAACTTTCCCTTTCTTCTGTAATTGCGTATAAACACTCAAATTATTCTCAAGTGAGACGTGCTGCTGATGTTGGCCAACGCGTCATCTTTCCACCTCTCAATAACAATGATTTTTCCTCTCTATTTATAAAAATGAAACCACGCTTGCTCACCTCATCTTTATTCCTAATTAATATCTTTTCATCTTTTGTCACCAAATCCAAAGCCGCTATTAATTTAATTTAAGAAAGGCTTTAAAATTTATCCAGCTCATAACCCGACCGGGACGTGCTTCCACATGAAGAGCCATTTCCAAATATCTTGAACTATAAAAATATTTCTAATCACATGACAAATTTAGGGAAGTTTATCAGTTGTTTCAGCCTGATGATGCTTCAGGAGTGGCCACCAGGACTTCATCCTGAGAAGACACGTCCAAGTTTTAAAACGAAGGTTTTGGGGAACGATGGAGGACTCAGAAGAGCGTTCCCGTCAAGGCCCAATGCCGCGGGATATCCAGAAATAAAAACTATCCAGTAAAAAATCTTTGATATCAGCAATTATGATTTGGGTGTGTCTAATAGACAGGGACACAACCACTCAAACTCCCGGAAAGATGAAAAGTTCCCTGAGGTTCCAGGATTTCTTCTTAGTCTCGATTCCAGAGGAATCAGGCTTATTTAAATTTTTATATCTATTTGTTTCTTTGTTCTTTACTGAATTTTTTTTTTTTTTTCAATGCACGGAAGTTAATATAAAGCAAAAAAGCAACAAAAAAAAAAAAAAGAGCCTTGCAGGTCCCAGCTGCAGTGGCAGAGAGTTGCCTGAAGATGGCGATCTCAAGTCTATTTGACTTTTTATAATCCGAATATTATCTGTTACCATCTTTCAGAAAATACCAGCTTTCCCCCCCCTATTTCTCACGTACTTCAGAAGACCAGAAGTTGCTGAAAACGATGCTCGTTTCAACAAACTGCTTCTACTTTTAGGTCTCCAGACAGAAGGGCAAATGAGACTGTTTCGTTTTTGTTGTGAAAAACCAATACATAAATAAAGTTGGAATTCTTAACGCGCTTTTTCCCCAATTTGGTTTTGAAATTATTATATTTTTTTTTTTTTTGCTTACGGCCCTCACACAGCCGAGCTGTTCACATTTTTCCTTGGAGGCGTTCGGACCGGGATGACAATCGTATTTTTCATTGGTGCTGGTTCGTAGAGTCCATCTCAACGAGTACGATTTTCCCAGTTCCAGCTGGAGCCCTTGTATGAGAGCAACCTACAAATATCACACAACGAACCGTTATTAAATTCTACCTCCCACCAACAGCTTTTCGGATAATTCAAAACAAGAAACTGCCCTCCCCCGATTTTTACAAATTCACCCCTCCGTAATTCCTGCACAGAAGACCCGATCCCGCAAGTCCCGCGGGAGCACGTCGGAGGTAAGCGCGCGACTCTTTCACCGTTTTAAATTAAAATGTAAGCGGTTAAAAAAAATGATATATAATTGTTCTTTACCCTCCTACAATATCAGCTGCAAAATCCGAAAGTTGTTCCTCCCTTTACAAATTGAAGGTAACCGCATAATTAAGTTGCGCAAAATTAAAACGCGTCACATGCAATGTCTGAGGGCAAAGTGGAGATCCAGAGTCTTTGACGTATTAGGATAATAATAATGATAACGTATTAGGATAATAATAATGATAACGTATTAGGATAATAATAATGATAATGATTACGGGAATTAACATAATGGTATTTTTTAGTCAAATACATCACACATACTGTGGCATTTACCATCGTACTGAGCACTCTCCTTTTCAACTTATAAAATACAGGTGGTACCCGTCCACTTTTCATAGAATCACGGAATGGGTTGGGTTGGAAGGGACCGTGAAGATCATTGAGTTCCACCCCCCCGTCCCGGGCAGGGACACCTCCCACCAGCCCAGGTTGCTCCAAGCCCCGTCCAACCTGGCCTTGAACACCTCCAGGGATGGGGCAGCCACAGCTTCTCGGGGCAACCTGCACCAGGGGCTCACCGCTCGCACAGGCAACAATTTCTTCCGATTATCTAATCTAAATCTACCACCTTCCAATTTGAAGCCATTCCCCCTCATCCTATCACTCCATGCCCTTGGAAAAAGTCCCTCCCCGGCTCTCCTGGAGCCCCTTTAGGCACTGGAAGGGACTCTAAGGTCTCCCCGGAGCCTTCTCTTCTCCAGGCTGAACATCCCCGACTCTCCCAGAAAGGTGGGGTCTCACCAGAGCAGAGTAGAGGGGCAGAATCCTCTCCCTCGCCCTGCTGGCCACACTTCTTTGGATGCAGCCCAGGATACGGTTGGCCTTCTGGGCCACCAGCGCCCATCACCGGCTCATGTTGAGCTTCTCATCAATCAACCCCCCCAGGTCCTTCTCCTCAGAGCTACTCTCCAGCCATTCATCCATCTGGATCTGTGCTTGGGATTGCCCCGACCCAGCTGTAGGACCTTGCACTTGGCTTTGTTGAACTTCATGAGGTTGGCATGGGCCCACCTCTCCAGCCCGTCCAGGTCCCTCTGGTCGGCATCCCTCCCCCTCCAGCGTGTCCGCCTCGCCACACAGCTTGGTATCATCGGCAAATTTTTCCTTTTTTTTTTATTTACCTTATTGACAGGATTATAGGTGATATTAGGAGAAGAATTCTGGACTTCGTTGTTCTGCAACACAGTAACGGACACCAGTTCCTGGAGCAAGCCCAAGATTTTGATTTCTTCGAACATCAGGTTGTTCGGGTCGGTGTAGTTGTTGGCTGTGACGTTCATTTGTAGAACGTTCTGGGGAATAACAACATAATTGCATTGAGTTGCCAGAATGTCTCCTGATTTAAAGTGATGAGCAACAGGGGCTTTTTCCTATTTTTTTACATATGTAATATATTTTTATATATTATGTATTGCGTATTATATCTATTTTTATGCATATTGTATGTGTTTCTGTATTATATGCATAACATATGCATGCATTTAATACGTTCGTTTTTCTTGACACAGAAAAGCCAGGTTCTGTTCAATCATATTTAATAATATGAGATGAGTCCAACCTCTCGAGCTGTCATCTCCATCAATATAAAACTTTCTTATTGCTGTAAAAAAAACCATTAAAAAATCACCCTGTAGATGCTCTGGGTTCCTACCTTTTCCGGCCTCGCTCTTCATCTCACTTATTGTAGATGCCGAGATACTTTTTTTTTTTCCCCCCCAATATACAAGGATTTTTATCAATTTTTCAAATTTTTGAGACTAGCAAACAAGCCATTCATCTCCTTTCTTATCCTAACTGCCACCGATGCTTTTTACGGGTTTTTAACTCTATAAACTCTATAAACTCTATAAACTCTGTAAACTCTGTAAACTCTGTAAACATTTTTTTTTCTTCTTCTGTAAAGTAGCAGGAAATGGGGAATGTTCAGATATTAAAAATAATTAGGGGAAGAGAAGACATATGTCACATTTCCATCTTGGTCAAGTGACAATACTTTGAAAAGGCACCTCTGGAACTTTAACAAATAATTCATTTTCCAGTAAAAGTTTCAGGAAAATAGGGAGGAGGGGGAAGGAATATCCATAGGAAGTGTTACTGATTAAAAATTGAAATGAAAATTAGATCCTTTAAAAGAAATAAAATGTATACTTACATTGGAGACTTTAAAGTTGTAGAAAATGTAGGTTTTCTTCTCAACGGTACCTAAAATGTGTGGAGAAAGAGATTTCAGTTGCAGGGCGGAATGAGAGAGCGTTACAAAAGGAAAGCTAGAAGACCAAAAAAAAAAAGCTAAATATTATTATTATTATTATTATCGTTACTGTTATCTTTGAAAGCTGCGGGATAAACTACAATAACCTACAAAATCCCAATAATTTTTTGAAGAGGGGAAAAATGAGTGTTGGTATCTAACAGTCCGCTAGTTCAAATCATTTGTCAAATTGATCCCGGGTGTTAATATTTCTACATTTTCCTGAAATCCTGATTTATTTTTTTTTTTTCTGGGGGGGGTTTAGTTTTTTTCAAGTTCAGAAGTCACCTATGGAGTCACGACGTTATTTGCTGCGGGGGGTGGCAGAAAGCCGCCCGACCTGCCCGTTCTTGCCCCTTTCGTTATGCAAATTTCTTTTTTCTTATTATTCTTGACCTTAGAAAAGTATATCCGGTTACTTTTCGGTAGGCTTTCCCGGCTGCCTGTCGTAATCCACTACTTTTATTTTCCAATTCTTTTTCTTCTTAGATGAAGGACTAGACACTCCAATTAAATCAACAAATATTCATGCCAAATATGTGCCATTTTAGTCCAGTTTGGTGTATTTTAGTATTTTGGACTTGGGCTCCTCTCTAAGTTTAAGAAACTTCTAGTCTCCAACCTACATTTTATTTCAGTATAGTTGAACAAAGCTCAAATATTTCCCCCCCCCCTTTTTTTTTTTTTTTTTAAAAAAAACCAAACCAACCACTAAGTTTCTCGTGAACAGCCACCCGCGGAACCAAAAGGATACGAATTAGAGAATTTCAGGTCCACCTGGGATGCAGTAGCATTAACAGGAATATCCCATAAAACAAAGCCCTTTGCTCTAAATATTTTGCAAAATAAAGCCACAAACTCCGTCAACTAAAAGTAATAATCACCATCATCGTGTAATAATAATATAGCAGCAATATAGCAATAATCATACAAAATCATCTACCTTCAATACAAGCTTGAGTGTTTTATAAAACGCCTTCCAAAAAAAAAAAAAAAATCATTTCAGAATAACTGTTTAAACTCTTTTTCCGTCTTTTCTAGAAAATGTATGTTGAACGTTGGGCAAAGGCTTCAAAAAGCACCTGAAGGATTGAGGGATCCATTTATTTGAATCCAATGAAAATCAGGTGCCTGACTGAAGCCTCGGGAATCCCTTAGAAAATTCAAGGTTCCTCATTTCCCCAAAATACCTTCACCTCAAGATTACAATTAAAAAAAAAAAAAAAATAAAATCAGAGTATTTTGTTGTTTTCCATCGCTCTGGAATGACCTCTGCTTTTCTTAGACACAGCTGTATTCCGAAGGCATTCATTCTCACAAAAAGAAAAATGAATTTAGCCTAAAATTCAAGTTTTTCTTACTTGGGTTGAATTAATTTCATGACCTTAGTACTGCACTGAGCTTTTTTTTTTTTTTTCCTTAAAAAAGGATGGAAATTGTTTGATAGAAAAACACTTGGGAGTTGAGTAGTCCCAATCCCCGTTCATGGCAAGAGGTTGTGGGGCTTTGGCCTGATTATTATATCCAAAAAAATAAGTTTTTGGGCAGGCATTAACAAAAAGTGAGGGTGGAAAGATAACATGTCACCTGTTCAGATTCGTGGATGTACTGCGGAAACCAAATGCCTTAAATTTTGGGTTCAATACCCCAACTTTTGAGTTAACAACATCTCTGCTGATTTCCCAAGGAATTTAACTAATTCTAAAACGTTCGGTAACGAGTTTTTTCGTCTTGAACCAAACCTTCTTGTGAACTACGGATTATGTGTGTTCTTGTACCCATTGAAACTCTTTGGGGCGCACAACAGAAAGAATATAAATTGTGACAATGCGGTTTAACCGTCGGCGACGTCTTTACATATTGCGAAAGCTGAACAAGAAAAAGAAAATTAAAAAAAAAAAAAATTAAGACGATCACTTTTTTTTCCCCCCACTTGGTGGAAAAAGTGGTAATAGCTTGTTACGTATTTAAAATGTTTACCTTTTTTAAAATTTAAAATATTTAATTTCAAAATATTTTTTTTAAAAAATCCGATTTTAATTTTCAAATGTTAATATTGTGGTTGCTGTCGATCATTCGCTACGACAACCGACGTAGGCTCACCTGTGGATTCTCCATCATCCCAGAACAGCTCCCCAACTGCCTCGTTGTTGTCATCCAGTGCAATGATGAGTCCCATGGGATTCTTACAAATAGGGAAAAAAAAACCAAAACCAACCCCAAAATTTTAGATGTATAATAAATATCTCGGCAGTCTTTAATGATCATATGAAGAGTACAGCATTCAAAAAGGGTTTCAAAACTTTGAGAATTGTCTTGCATTAATCCCTGGCTCTCCAAGGTTTTGATCTTCAACGCCTTTCATGCAACAGACTAAAAATCCGCGGTGGGATTAAAATGCCACACAGGGGGGAAAACCCACCAAAAACCTCTGGTCGATCATCAAACGCGTTTTGTCGTTGGCCGCGGCGCTGACATTTCTTCCCAAATTTCAAAGCGCAAATGTTAAATATTACTAAACAACGCTACTACAGCAAATACTACTGCTAATTATATATTATTGTAACGTAATAATGTAATACTAATAGTAACGCCGATAACAAAAATTAGTAATGATAAAAAATATTAGTATGATAATAGTAGTAATAATAACGATGAATAATTCTACTTTTTCCTCCCACACACAACCAGCCGGCCTTGAGTCCATTCTTGGAATCACGTTTCGTAACTATTCCATGGAGAAAACGTTCCGCGCGGAGATTTACCTCGCCACTGTGGTGGTGGCCGGCTGCTGGAATGGGAAGATGTAACCTCCTCTCAAGTGAAGCCCCATTTTGTCTGCGGGAAGGTTCATGTATACCCACTGTTTTCTCGGCCAGAATTTCGCGCCCTAATTAAGAGGGAGGAAAGAGAAGGAATAGGTTGCATTACTTGCTGCTGGCCTTAAATCCTGAGTTTTTTCTTAATTCTTCTTAATTCTTCCTTTTAGTCACAGGTTTCAGCTCTGCTGCCCGTGGGGACACAAGTCAAACCTCCACAGACCATAACACTCTGCAATGATGTCTATAAATCAGTAAACTCTCATTATTTCTTTTCACCTTATTAAATCAGATTATTTCATAATCGAGCCAGCGGGAGCAAGTCCTGCTGGGATGTCTGAAGCGAAACGTGTCCCTTTTCCACCGATGAAAACCA